CGATCCGACGACGATGCCGACTTTAACTGGTTTTAACGGTTTGTTGTATTTTTTGTTAATCCTTCTGAGTTCAATCAAAAAAGAAAAACAAAGAGAATTTTCAGAACTGTGGGTCCTTTCCTAGAAAATCTTCTATTGAGTGGACTCAAGTACTTAATCATTTTCTGAAATTATTTCTGTAAAAGTTCTAAAGACGAGCAGGAACATGAAACTCTTAGGTAATTTTTTTTATTGCTTATTCCTTGTAACGCCGCCGACATTTAAAAACTTAACTTGAGGAGCGTCCATTGATTTTTATTAGCGGAGAGTTTTTGGGCTCAATCCCAGCACGTCGTAAACTCCCTACCCCTACCGAATTCACATTTTTCGCAATAATATTTTTTTCTAAAGAAATAAAGTTTGTAAATATTTTTAGTAATTTTTTCCTTTTAAGGAAAATTAAAATTGGCACGTAGGACAATTTCCTTTGCGGCAAAAAACAAAAATTAAATAAAAAATAAAAAACCATTAATAAATATAATTTAACATACTTCTGCTATTAGTATAAGTATGTATGTGTGCATTAATTAATACTTATTTCTCGCATTTCATTCTGCTTACTTTCACTTAATTAGCTGCAGAACTACTCACTGAAGCAATAGCAAATTGCCAATGTTTCAGCATCAATTGCAGCTCTGTTATTGCAGCACACGCACCTACATACAGATATGTACTTGTATTATACATAAAATAATATAAATGTTATTGCACAATCATCCATCTAACTGCAGCACAGAGTTGCTGTTATTTTTGTTATTGCAAAATTTTCCAAATATCCCCTACAACAACAATTCGTTGTCTGCTTGTTGATGCCACATTACATACGACTTGTGGCATGTAATACATACATATATGTTTATTGTTGTTCGTGCTGTTGTTGTTGTTGCTGCTGCTGCTTTTAATATAACTATCTGTGAGTGACTGTTGTGTGTTTCTGGCTCATTTAAATTATGACTAGAGAGAGAATATTTCGTTGCGCATGGTTGCATGCAACAAGCGGATAGATCGCGACATGCAACAGCAGCAATGGCAGCAGAAACTAACAGTTGCGTGGCGCTGGTGGCATTAAATTAGCGCGTTATAGTTGCAGATTTTGTTTTTCGTTGTTTAGTTGTTGTTGTTGTTGTTGTTGCCTTACAGATTGCTACGCAGCGTTACAAGATGCCAACGAGTGTGAAATTGGTTTAAAAATAATTTTTAAGTGTTTTTTTTTCTCCATCGCTAAGGAAGGTGCGTGTGTGTGTGTGTGTGTGTATGTGTGCGCAACGCTGACATTGCAGCAGCTGTTGTAGACATGCCGCATGTTGTTTAATGCAACAACGACTAAATTTGTCATATACATAAACATGTGCATGCATATAAGTGTAAGTGTGTGTGTGTGTGTGTGTGCATGAGCGTTTTTTTCACTAGGATTTTCATTTACAGTTGCCCGCAGACAATTTGTTAGATTTTCGAATTTTATTTTGCAGATTTTACTTTATTTGGCGTCTTCTATTCTGTATTTTCTTTTCTTGGATTTGGCTTGCATGCAACAACGCCTACACGCAGCTTTGCGTTTCAGCGGCGCATTAACGAAATTACGTTTTAAAATGCAAATTGAATTTGAAATTGAAATTGCCAAATTCCCAGCGCAGCAGAAAAGGAGAAGAAAACCAAAGAAAAAGAGTTTATCGTCACAGTGCATCAATTAATTGTAAAGTGAGCACTCGCACACCCTCGACTATCTACGCGCTGGTTGGCTAGCTAACTCTGTGGTTGGTTGGTTGGTTGGCTGGTTGTTTGCGACATGACAACGGCAATTTGCTGTCGTGTTGCACGTTCGCCTCCAGTTAGATACTTTGACTTAGCACAGACACTTTGTTGTTGCATTTGCATTTTGCCCATTTGTTTTTTTTTGTACATTTTCCACTCGCCAATATTGACACTAAAATTTAATCTCGCGCTTAACTCAACGGCGGCTTGAAGTGTTCGGCAGCAGATAAACGGCGAGTGATAGGCAAAAGCGCGGATAAGGGCTTGCGGCAAATTAAGTTAATATTCGTATATATGCCGGTATGTATATATGTATGTATGTATGAAGTGTAAGTGTTACTACAGGCTAATATTGCAAAACACTAGCTACTGCATCTGCCCAGTTGTCCGTCACTCACTTACGACACTTAAGTCTCAAGCAAATCACCGTCGGAAAATCAGTTGCAAAAACGTAAATTGTTTTGGCGAGAAAAAATATTAAATTAAAAACACGTAAGGTGGAGCTAAATTCGGATGTGGCTTAAATTTGAAGTCTCACATACAGTAATAAGAAAATGCAATAAAAGATGTATTAAGGAGTTACATACCTCTTTAAGGCTTGAAAATAGCTTATTTTCTCAAATTTTTTTAAAAGTTACTAATTAAAGTGTACTATGTATTTTGTTTACGTATAAAAGTACTATATGTGGACAACATTTGATGAAAATTTGAATGAAAAATAGTATAAGATAAGTCGTTGGTCGTGAAGTAGACCGTCCACAAGAAAGTGCTTTCGCGGCAGTCATGATAACTTTTTCAATTTTTATCTGAAATCAAAAATTCAAATTTTTTCTTAAAGTAGGTAAATTTTCCTTGTTCCTGAATGAAGAAAAATTAAAAAAAAAAATTGAACTTTTTGTAACATTTTTTACAAAAAACGTCATTTGCTGCATAAAATTAGGCCACATATTGGCTTGTAGAATGAGTGGGAATCAAAGATAAAATAAATCTTTCGCTCAGGGACTACAAAAATATGCTTAAAGGAAGTGCGGAAAGCTTGAACTCGTTCACTTCAATAGTCGTTGAGAAATTTTGACTACCGATTTTGATAAAGTGGTTTTAAGAAAACGGTTTTAAAGCTTCGCCATCGGTCAAGCCATGAAAAAGGGCGGAATGTAAAACTCTCTAATATCTACAGTTTCGTCTCGATCGACTTGAAACTTAGGGAAAATGTTGCCGATACTTTGTACTTTAATACTAAAGATTATCAAAAATGTAAATTTTTTGAAGTTTTAAGACCAATGTAACCCCTTAATATAAAAAAAAGAATAAAATCTAAACTTCGGTTAAACTAAGCTAAGCAGTTGAGGTTAAAGATCAGTTAACAACAGTTAATAACAGTTTGACTACCAATTCTTCAAGTTTTTTTTTCTTTAAAATACATTTGAAAGTCGCGTTTCCTCGTCCCCAACATCCGTGCAGCTGCTGCAGCATTTCTGATATCTATCTATGCGAAAGGTTATTTTCTACAATTATACAACAATACGTGTACGTTTAAGCCTCGAACTGCGTGAAGAATGAGCAGAAATGAACTAAAGGCATGACGAGTTGATTTTGAAACATGACAACGCTCGGCCCCACGCGACTATAGCAGTGAAAATTACTTTGAAACACTGAACCTACCCGACTAGTTGTCCTCTCTAGACCTTTCTCCTGCCAACCACTTTATTTTACGATGGTTCGTGCCTTTCCAAGGAATCGTAGAATAACTCAATGGATCGGGGATAGAGAGAACTATTTTTTCAACATGGTAAACCCTAGTCGCTATCTATTTGCAGTACTTTCGGTGATGTATTATATCAATTTACTTTTTTTTTTGATAAAAAAAAACACTCTTTTGAGCACAAAAAAAAATAAAGATTTGAACAGAAAATTATATTGGATGAGTGCATAAGTTCGTGCCCGATTCCGCTGGATGCCGTTCGAATCGTTTGAGAGTGGAAATATATACATACTATATATCGTTGGAAAGGTGACAGTTCAAACTGTAANCTTGACACCTTTTTCAACGAGAAACCGCGCGATTTCTATGAATCAGGCATCCGTAAATTGGTTGAACGTTGGGAGTGGTTTGCCGAACATGATGGCGAATACATAATTGATTAATAAAAGCGCTTTCTTCAAAAAATTTCAATTTTAGTGTGCACTTGAAATCGGGCACGAACTTATGCACTCATCCAATATTTTAATGTTGGAAAAACTTCAAAAGACATTAAAATTTTTATCTGAAGGTCAAAACTATTTAGATTTAAGTATTTTCTCTTAAATTTTTTGGCAGTTGAAGAAAAGCAATAATCCTCTATTGACGAAAAAACCCAGGTTTGCTATATGGTGCACAGGCTTATCTTCGTACAAATCACCAACATCCGTTAAGCCGAAATCTAGGGATTTTTTAAAACAATAAATTTGGTATGATTTTACTTGACTTGACTTGTACCATTACGGGGATCCTTTGATAAATCAGATTTGTGGATATAACACCGTCGGCACCGACCGATTTCGCTCATTTACAATATCACTTCAATAACTTTGTCAATTTGTGCGCAAGCATACATACATACATATCTGAACAAATTGAAAATACCTTGTTGAGCCAGTTATTGCTTGTTAAAAAACTAATAATAAAAATGAATAAAAAAATATTGATAAAAAATTAAAAACAAAATCCGCATTTGTCACTTTAGCCGACAGCGGCGGAATTTTAACGGTTACGTGAAGTTCCATTGCGCGAACCACCACAGAAAATGCTTTTAAAAGTGTCACTTCTGTTTCTGCTTGTTGTTGTTGTTTTCATTTTTATACTCACTTATATTGTTTATGTGACATAGATAGTTTATGCGGCATTTAATGAACGTTGTGTGGCCAGATATGTCCGTAAATATGTATATGCACAAACGCTTACATACAAATACAAACACCATGCTTAATCTGCTGAGAGTCATGTTGTGATAGGCGTTTTTACACACATAACTACACACTTGCTTACATCAGTTTTTGCATTTTTTTACAAATTCCCATGCTGGAATAAGATTGCATATACATACAAATACTACGAACATATGTATGTATGTGTATACTATATGTATGCATTTAATTACAAATATACTCATTTTCCAGTTATTTCCATTTCTACAACACTTATAAAATACCCATAATTCAAGTAAACTTACCGTTACCGTTAGCTGATTTTATTCTGCAATAAAGAATGAAAAAGAGAAAGAAAGAGTGAAATGAAAAAAAACAAATTATTGCTTGCTGTTATAACAAAGATGCAAATTTACAGTTATATAAATTAAGTTTAATGTATGTAAATGTGTAATAACTTAGTTGTGCTATATGTGCAGGTAGGCATTGTTGTATTACAACAAACAAAGGAGAAAAACGAAAGACTTAAACGGCAAACTTGGTGAGGCATGAAAAACGTAAGTTCTATGTCTCAGGAGCCTCTTAATTGTAGAAGCGGCAAACTTTATATATATGTATGTTTGCATGCTCATAATACTTTCTGAAAATCTATAAATATTATTTATATTTCTAAAAGAAATATTTTTAATTTTCTCTTTTTTCTTGTCACACGAAAACTGTTATTAAATTTTGAAGGTATTGGTGATCCAAGCAAGAAGATATCAATGAAAAAATATGTTGCCATTAAATTTTATTATGACATCAAAAATCAATTCTCAGAAAAAAGTTTAATATTAACAGTTAAAATTTGATTTCTTAACTTATCAGGTGTACAACTTTGCTTCCGCCGTTTTTTCGAAAATTAAAAGCTTTATTGCGAAAAAGTGCTCACAGATATTTTATTCAAAGTATTGTCCTTCGCTAGCGATAACTTTCTCCCATCTTTCCGGTAATATTCGGATCCCGGTTCGAAAAAAGGAGTCCTCTTTCGACGCTATCCGTGAAGCAATACAGTTGTCCAATTCTTCGAAGGATTGAAAATGTTGATCTGCCAGGCCGTGTGCCATCGAACGGAATAAGTGGAAGTCAGAAGGGGCGACTTCTGGGGAATACGGCGAGTGGGGCAAGACTTCCCCTTTCAGCGTTTCCAGGCACTTTTTGACCACTTTTGCGACGTTAGGCCGAGCATTGTCGTGTTGGAGGATGACTTTGTCATGTCGCTCTTGATATTGTGGCCGCTTTTCTTTTAGCGCGCGACTAAGGCCCATCAGTTGCGTTCGGTAGCGATCTCCTGTGATGGTTTCGACCGGTTTTAAGAGCTCGTAGTAAATTTTTCTTCCACCATGTTTGTCTTCGACATCGAAATCACGATTTTTAAAACGTTGAAACCACTCCCGACACGTTCTTTCACTCAGAGCAGCATCACCGTAAGTTTCTGAGAGCATTCGATGCGCTTTAGCTGCATTTTTTTCGAATTGTAACAGAAAAGTAAAACTTCCCGCACTTTAAAGGCATTATCATCTATGTATTTCAACTAGCCTCAGCCGGTACAGCCACCTATCGGAAAACGGCGGAAGCAAAGTTGTACACCTGATACTATAAGGATAGGGTGTTTTTTTAAACAGGTTATATTCAAGAAGAAATAAAAAACTCACAATTCCATATTGTGGCCAAGTATTTAGCTTTATTATAAAGTTAAGAGTTTGCTATTATGATTTAAAAATATTTTGTGGCAGCCACCGTCGCGTCTGCTTGGAATAAATTTCCCAATAGTACCAATTATCGATGTCAGCAAGAACGGACCGAATATTCTCTTTATTCTTCTTATCTGTGTAGGCAAACGACTTCACTTATTCTCCCAAAAAATAATCCAAGGGTGTTGAATTGTTCAACCTTAGAGGCAAAACCATACGCCTACGACGCGAGATAATGCGTTCAACAAAACTTCCCTTCAATAAATTGATTGTTTCGTTGGTTTTATGACATGTAGCTCCTTCTTGTTGAAACCAAGTCGGAATAAATTGTAGATCCCTCCATTTCTTGGAACAACATCAAGATGCATACCACAAATTGGAGAACACGCTCGGTAGCTCATTTCAGTCGTTGAAAATCGCCGATTAAACTGAAAATATAACAAGTAACAAGTGCCAAAAATATCAATTCTGAAACAAGTATTGCTCCAGTGAAAACCACACGTCTTTACATAGGATTTTCGTAAATTTTCAAAGTCTCCAGCAATAGGCTGCTGGCATTCTTGATCTCCATTTCCCTTGATAACGATTTTTCATTAATGCAAATATTCTGATTTTACCTCTCACCTTATTCGTCACTCACATCAACCAAATTTTCCAGAAAATAATTCTCGTGAGAAACGATCGCTAACGTGTGTCCTATCTAAAGATACCGCTGATTTAGGTCAAATTCCTCATTAGAAATTCTTGTCTTGTTTCGGACCAGTTGGGCGCTATGTAGAATAGGTATTTCGATCGTAGACAAGTTTGGATAGTGGATGGTGGGTTTGGACTTCGTTGCGATACCTTTCATTTGAATCAAACAAATATAGCAGTGATTACGTAATTACGTTATTCCGTTCAAAATAGTCGTATAACAAATGGATAATGTCTATGTTGCTGTTTAGCTTAAACCAAATAGAAGTCGCACACTTGTCACACAGCATTAAAGTGGAGCCCAAATAACTGTTCAAATAATGATATTTAAAAGTTAATTCTCTTCACTTAGTACTGCTGCGTTGGAGCAAGCGCTCTTAACAATATAATCACTTCAAATAACCTTAAAGAATTTATTATTCATTTCGCCATAATAAAAATATATAGCAAAATCTCAACACAGAATCATTCTTGTCAACAGCTGAGCTGGTAACAAGTCCTCTTTTGACGAAGTGAATAAAGCTCTATAAGTCCCTAACAGCAGGTGAAGACAAAACATGCAGGCGTCGGCGAGTTAACTGCTGCATGCAGCTTCTCAGCACTTAGGCGAGTTACTACTCTTTATTTTAATTCCAGAAAACGGCGAGGGTCTCTCTCCTATATCAGTTACTTAGAGGTATCTACTTCCACTATAGCAAGACCAGGGTGAGGTACTATTTTCTGAATTTTTTTTTTCTGTATTTTTTAGCGTAAAGCCTATAGGTTGGGTTACGAATATCGACACATTTGTATTTTTTAGCGTAAAGCCTATTGGTTGGGTTACGAATATCGACACATTTAGATCAAAGCAGGCTCACTTTTATTCTACGAAAAATTTTCTCTGACTCTACATATTCTTTTTCATTCACTTGGGCACCCACAAAAATTTGAACACAAAGCTTATTTTACTTTCTGCGATACAGTAAAAGACATACATGAATGTGACTAAAAATGCCAAAGTAACCGGGGAATTAATCAGGTGGATAGTTTGTACTGCTCAGCCATTACCAGAATAGGTCTGCTAAAGTCGAGTCGAGTGGATCGAATCTATAGCTTTTATAGCTGCCTGGCAGTCAGTGAAGAAAAAGTGTTGTAAAATATACAATGTAGAAATGCAGTGGAGTGGGCTGACTGAAATCCAACAGTTGCGTATTCACTCTTAAGCCCTCTAATGAAGATTTGATGGCCTTCGGTAGCACGTTATTGAAAGCTCTCTTTAAGCATAAGAAATACCTTAGTTCTCATTATGTATGGGTCAGTATGTGTAGAGCAGTTGTCGTTGATTTTTGCCTAAAATTAAAGAGTGGAAAGATCTCTTGGACGGCCATGAGTAGCCTTTCTGGTGCTAGGAATAAATTCCACTGACACTAAAAACCTTTAAATTAAACCAATTTTATCAGATAACAGTAATATGTGGAGCTCAGCAATCTCTTATGGCCACTTTTATTGCCAACTGCCATACAACAACAATCTACGTTTGTCAACAACAATTGGCTAAACTCAAGCAATTTGTGCTTATTTCAAAAGTTAGAATACTTTATTTTTTTTGCGCACCAATCAAAAGAGCTCGCATACGTTTGATGACGTAACTAATTTTATAAGACCAACAAAGAACACAAAAACTGTTCAATCAGTAGCACCAGCAGTAGCAGCAGTCGCAGCGAAGAAGTGAAGCAATAAATTCGTCAACTGCAAAGTTGAAAATTTGGTCACAAAATCATCAAATCGGATAAGCATTTTCCAACTTTAAACGACATCAAATTACAAACTTAGATTACTTGTGAAATTGCATATACAATAGAAAACAACAAAAAGAAAAGTGAAAAAAATGTAAGCAATAAAAATGTAGCAACAAAAGCTATTTGGCGATTTCACCGGCATATGGACAAAATAATAGAAGTAAAAAAAAAATTGAAAAAATAAGAGAGAAACAGTATTTGAGTGCCGCATGCGGCCGTGAAATGTTTATGACGTTTCCATTTGCGTAACAACAAAATTGCATTTGCCACCAACACCAACGCGCCAGCAGCAATAATCACAAAAATACTTTGTTTACAACTTAATGTGCGGCGATTTAGAGGCGATTGCTTGTTTCTCTTTGGACTCTTCGCAGAGGTGAAATAGAGAAATCAAGTGGCCACTGTATTGAGAAAATAATAAAGTGCTCTTAGAGTATGTATGTGAGTGGCTACGATTTGGCCGTAATGACAGTGACAACTTGCGTATTGCGGATGCAGACAATTTTCACAAAAAAAAACAGGGAATTGAAATATAGAAAAAAAAATTATACATCACCAAACAGACAGACTTACTCGGAACCACGCTTGCAGGAATAATACATGGCTGCATCCGATATTCGGTCGACACAATCGTCCAGCCGAATTGGTGATTCGAGCAACCGTTGTTCAGTTTTGCAACACGGTTACTATAGTGGATAATGCGAATCCTCTGAGAGGACGGATAGTGCGCAACGAAGAACCTATTACTCCTATCGGAGCTGTGCTCATACACTTTATGGAAGATTTTGAGGAAGGATTTTGATTTGCGGAATTAAAAAATCTAGCTCCGGCAAGAATTGAAGCGGAACTAATATCTTGTTCGGGTAAATGGATCCAAAACGAGATGGCCACCGGTCCCTTTATTCTCAAGCAAATTTTGTTCAGCGATTAAGATCACCTTTAGTTGTATGGGTACGTTAATAAACAAAATTTTCTGACGAAATGGTGCTACACTCCTTTCAGTCGACGAAACAATGCATTAATTGAAGTAAAAAATTTTGGTGGGCCGTGGGCCTGTGGCATAGAATCCAAGATCGTGCGGTGTTACACCGTTAGTCTATTTTTGTGAAGTTGCTTGCATACCC